TATAAATGTCACTGTGAGGCAGTGGGAAATTGTAAGATCAGTAATGGGGCTTGATTAAAAATAAAATAAAATTGTAAGCATAATGCTTTGTGTGGAGGCCCACTACTTGGAGGGACATATTGTTTTTCCCTGGCTTAGTCTGCCAGCTTTAGATGACATGCCTACAGGAAATGTATGACAGGTGCTGCTGTGCTGGGGCATTCTCAAGCAATTTCTTTGTGCTTCTAAAACTGAATTTTTCTACTGTTTTTAGTTGGTACAGCATGAACAGAAATAATTCCTTTCAGCTAAGAGTACTGAATGGGGGCAGAAGCAATTAAGTGTTCAGAGCACGCAAACACCCTTAACTGACCAATGGACATTGATAGGCTATAGATTCTCAAACTCTCTCATAGGCTGGACCATATTTCTAATAGAAACTGTCCAACTGACTCACCTCCCATTTCCTTGTAGAAGTAATTTTGGGGGAAATGTGTAATTTTAGCTGTCTTTATCAGTTGGAAATGAGGTGGTAAAGCCAGCACCATGTGATGCTAGCGAGGACTTTTTGATACTGGTTTTGTTTGTTTTGGCCTTTTCGGTTAAAAAAACAAACCCCTCCGCAATGGGTACTCTTTAATATCAAAAGGCCTGCTTAGATTGTTTTTATCCAGGCGAAGGGGAAGTCAAGGCTGGGCTCACCTCTGTTGCCACATCTGACCACACAAGGGGTGCACTATACCAGCTTTTACAAAAATACTAAAATGAACATCTGAGGAAATATTATGTAAGCTATCGCACATCAATAAATGGGAAAGCAAAAGCAATTCATGTTAGTGGTTTCTTATGTTTAGTTTTTCAATATTGTCTCTATTAGTCATTGTTTATATTTATAGCTGTTTAAACCAATATTCAAGATGTCTTGTAATAAGAGAAAACTAACTTTTATTGAAGATAGCAGCATTACAAAATAATGGGTTTCAGTTCTATTGAAAATTCAGTAAAAAAAAACCTGAGCTATGTGCTTCTACAAATCAGGCAGAGACTAACTGCTTATTTTCCACAAGTAGTTACGCACCTTCAACTTTCTCCTGCATTATTTTCTGGCATTGTTCTCCTTGGGGAGGGAAAAAAAATCCACCTCTAAGTGATTGAGAATTCCTAATCATCTAGAAGCGTGTAGAAATCGAATGCCTTCTGCTCTTTGCCACGACCTTTAGAACCAAGAGATCATCATATAGGTATAAACGTATATTAACCTGCAAATGATAGTTGGAAGCTTTAGCATTACAGCTAATCCAAAGTACCTCTGCTAGCAGGAACTGCAGCAACTCTTTGCCTTCAGTAAATCCTTTTTGCATAAGTTGCCCATCTTAAAGTGTCCACTAAGCTAAAGAGACAAGGAGTTATCATTCTAGAAATGTATCCTAAAAAGACTACAATCCAGGATGGGAGCTCCCACAAAACAGGCTATAAGTTAAGTTACTACTCAACAGTGTAACTGAAAGCAGCCAAAATGGCAGCTCTGGAACCTGCTTGGCTCTTTGAATTTCTGGCAATGACAAAAGGCCAGCAAAACCACCCCTAATGACCTGCTAGAAGAAAATAAGCACTCAGTGTTTGTCATATCTGAAAGACATCCAATATAGGGACCAAAAAGGTATATTGACTATGTCATTAGACAGACCATAACCCAGCTGATAATTATATGCCCCTTCCTTGTTCTCTACATCAATTTAATAGCTTTGCAAGCAGGGAACCGATGCTCAAGGTGCATTTTCAGCTCTGAGGATAAAATGCCCGAATAGGAATATTTTCTAATTAAACCAAACCACAAGAATCTTCAGCTTCAGGAAGCTTTTCCAAGAGTTAAGGTCATTATAGCACCTTTTGAAATATTTTATATAGAGGGGAAAGGGATCCTCAAACTGTCTGCTGTTGTCCTTACCTACCAAGGCCTCAATTCAGAAAAGCATCCCTATACAGCACTTAAGCACATATGGATGTTTACGTTAAGCATAAAGTTCTTTCCTGAGTTTAGGTATGTCTACACTGAAGTTGGGAGGTGTGCTGCCCAGTTTGGGTAGACAGACTCATGCTAGTTCAGCCTGAGCTAACACACTAAAAATAGCAGTGTGAACATTGCACATCTGGCTTTGGCTCGAGCTAGCCACCAGAGTCAAAGCCTACCTGGCCCTCTGAGTCCAAGCTTAGGTGGCTAACCCAAGCTGCTGCCAGTGCCACAACATCCACACTGCTATTTTTAGCCCACTAGCTCGAGCTGAGCAAGCGTGAGTCTAACTGCACCAGCATCACACCTCCAAACTGCAGTGCAGACATCACCATCGTTTCCCTGCTGGGTATGTGGCTGGAAAGGTTTGTGACAACCAAAAGGTGAAAGATGGGCAGGGGCAACAAAGATGTAGGATTGACCTTCAGCTGCCTTTTAAGATACGACTCCAAGCTACAAGGATATACTGAGACAGACAGACTCCCTAACACAAACTCAGAAAAGCAAGTTAGCACAGTGAGAGTGTTGGCACAAACCTCTTCAAACCAAAAATAGGAATGAAGAGGACAGAAAGGCCCCACTCTCAATAACGATGAGGCTTAAGATGTAGAAGAAAGACACACATTCTGCTTGCAAATCATTGAACTGGTCTCCAGAAAAAAGCAGCGCCTAAATGTTTATGTAATGGAGGACAAAGACAAACCAAGGTACTGAATATGTAATGGAATAGTGCAGGCCAGTGCTCCTTGCTCTGAAAGTAGTGGGATGCACATGGATCACTAGCTAGCATTGGTTTCAGGTCTTCACACACTATCCTCCTCCCTCATTGAGCTGTGTATTTTCCAGGTATATTTTGTACTGCACTACCAATCCAGAGCCATTCAGTCCTGCCCAATCCCAAATCAGTGTTAGACTAAGTCCTTCAAATTATAGTAATGGCTTTGATTTTACAAAAAATAGGCAGATTTCAGATGATGCACTCTTCATCATTTATTGATAACTGATTCATGAGAGAAAAAGAGTAATGCTTAAAGTTCAAATCACAAACTAAATGGAGCCTTAGGTCTCCACCCCCCAAAAAACAGTATTTCTTAAATTCCATAAGGTTAACCATGGGGTGTCTATTTAAAAAAAAGGTATACTACTTTCTGATTCAATAGTCATCAATTTTAAAACCTAATTCTGTCATAGGCTTTGGCACTATTTGTTCAATGGACAAAATACACCTAAAGAATGTAAAAATATTTATTCAACCTAATCCATGTGGTTATAATTAATACTAAAAACAAGATTTTACAATACAGCAACAAAAGTAATAACTCTCTCCCACTAAGTTTAAATCATTGTATACTCCTTTTATAATCATCTGATGTACAACAGGTTCAGTTTTCAAAGAAGACAGCTTTCCTACAGAACAAAATGTTAAAACAAATAATTTGCACTATTAAATTCTGCATGAGACTTTAAAAAACAGTTATAAAGTGTTTGGAAATCTATACAGTGAAGACCACTGAAAAGCTTTCTCCTTGCACTGAGGAATTCTGCAAGAAATATGTATTACATTGTTTGAAAACTTATATTACAGAAAATCAGAGGTGGCTGCTGTGTACATAAATATATAAAAAAGTCAGACCAATCTTTGAGACCAACATAATCAGCAGACTTATGAGATTATAGTAATTTATCAATAATTTTAGCAAGATTCTCAAATTATCAGCTATGCATGTGTAACTTTCAACAACTATAGTTTCTGAATACTAGTTGGCCATTGTATATACTTTTTATACATTTCTAAAATATTACATTCTCAATATTTAAGGTAACACATAAAAAAGTAACATTTTTAAGTGTCACTAACATACATTATTGCAATCAGACATGAAGTTCACGCTATAGTTGCTTCATTTGTGATGAAAAGCAACGTTTACTTACCAATACTTCACTATGGGGAATGCTTACCCTTCTCCATGCATTTGACATACTATCATGAATAAAAAAAATAGGAAAACTTTAAGAATGAGAACTTTAAAAAAAAAAACCATTCAATTATTATGTACGGGGAACGGCAATTACTGTAAATCCAGGCTAAGTCTTGCATTAATATGAAATGGCCACATTGTTTGTCAAATAGGACTCAGAATTAACATTAACATTGGTATAGTAATTGCTAATTTCCATTGAAAAAGGTGGATTTATGAACAAGTAAAATTACTGATTTAAGTGCTAGTGTCTCCCCTTTTGACATATCACTAAAATCTGCATTTTTACGATAGGCTTTTACTGTTTTCATTATTAAATTATCTTAATTTATTAGACAATTAAGCTTTATCCTTTAGTCTGTACACTGACAGACGAGAATCAAGTTACCTGCTCATTGTCCAATGCTCTCTAGCCTCTACTACTATTTATTTGAGTAGTTAATTGCATAATCACAAAGGAACTCTCAAAATATAATCTTGTATTACTAAACAGCTGTTCTAATTACAGAAATAAGTGATTGAATTTCACTTTCCCAAGTAATTTCTCTAGAGGTGGATGGAATAATAATAGTTACAAGACAGCAAAGGAGCCATGACATAGCAATACTAGACACTATATTGTCTGCAATTGGATAGTAGCAAAATTAGCTGGAAGTCATGTACTAGCTCATACTCTAGGTGGTCAAAGTTGGCTTATGTGGACCCTTTAGAAAAGGATCGGTCTTCTGCTTGTCTATCCAATATTTTGTATACATTTTAGGCGTCCTGTTTTACATCTATTTCAGAGCTTCAGCTGTGAACAAGGGAATCCTTATTGGATAAAATCCAAGAAAAATTTCTTCTTGGCAATAAGCTATTCAAACAAAATTTCTTTAAAAAAAAAAAATCCCTCCATGGTATCCTTAGTGTTGAATTGGATGGTCTGTGTATGCAAATATTGTGCAGATACTTTATTAAGCGTACAAAAAAGGGATTTGGATACAGTCTGTGCATTGATCAGTAACTGCACAATTTCATTTTTTTTTTTTAAATTCAGCATATGTGGTATGATTCAGATGCCTGCCTGTCAAAGGAAATACACAAAAATGAAAACAAATCACATTCTTAGGTTCAGTAATTACTGAGCGGATTTTACCCTGCCACAAGAAAGTGCTTTATTATATTTGGAAAAAAAAAAAAAAAAAAAAAAAGAAAGCAGCAACTTATCACAAGTCTCCACTACTGTGCAATAACGATGGAATCTATACAACAAGAGAATCTGGTAGATGAGATTGTATGACAGCTGGAGATCACAGCCTTATGCTCCTTCTTGCTCAGGGTAATTTAAAATTTTGCGGTGAGCTTGACGTAAATATTGCTGTTGTTTGAAGTAAACTTTAAAAGCTCCTTTTATAGCAACAAAAGCAATTCCACCCTGAAATAAAGAGAGACATTTTTAAGACTTACAGAACAAGTTCAGTATCACATCTTCTCAGTTTTCTTCTTAGTTGTTAAAAAAAAAAAAAAAAATTTAAACAATCAAGAAGTATTTCCTTTGAAGTTAGGGTAATTAGGGCAATTACAAATGAATATTTGAGGCAAATTTTCTGTCACAATAGAGTACTACAGATGTTCATGTTACATGAATTACATAAAAGGATTACATGCTGGGTTTATAAATCATTTTCGAAGCTTTTATTCACTTATGACAAAAAATGAAAACCCATCACATTAAATAACAAAAATGAGATGTTTTCCCAGAATATAAAATATAGAACACACTAATTAATAGTCCCAATAAAAACTTATCAAAACTTGAAAAATCCATTTGCTAGAGGCAATTAGGGAACTTCCTCTGGCAAATACAGAAGGGATCAAAAACCATCAATTTCTGTAAAACTTAAGTTTTCATTAAAGATATGTCTTTAGTCCTCACGGTTGTAAAAACCCTTCAAACACATGAACAGATCCCAAGTGGTCTTCTCTAGGTCTTGTCCACACAGGGAGTTTAGTCCACACTAACTCAAGTTAGTCTGGTGTGAAAATGCCTGCATACATAAGATGCAATTCATTAGAGTGCACTAACTTTGCATTTAATGCAAACCTTGGAGTCCTCTTTCAAACCATACTGAGTTCAATGTAAATTGAGTTAGGGCCGTGCACTGCTTTGACAGTCCTCAAACTGCTATCCCGCACTCCTTTGCAGGTGTGTCTTATGGAGATGTCTCTGAGTGCTTTCCACTGCTCTAGGGTCAAATTGACTAGATACCCCCCCCCACCACACACACAAACCTTTAAAAACTGGCATGGGGCCAGGGCCAAGGCTAAGGGTGAGGGCGGGGAGCAGAGCTGCATCCAGCCTCTGGCCCAGCTGCTACCTCCACTGCAGCCCGGCTGCGGCTCCTGCTCCACCCCCTGGCCATGGCTCCATCCCAGGTCCCACTCTGGGCCCCAGGCCCATCTCCATCTCCATCCCCAGCCTCGGCTCCCTTACCCCGTCCACTCCTCCCCTCCCCCAGCCGTAGCCTCGCACCCAGCCCCTGCTCTGGGGGAGAGGGGTGGGACAAGAGTAAGGGGGGCATGACCCTCAAAAGTTTGGAGACCACTGCTTTAAAGATCTGTTTCATTGTTGTTTTAATTAAAGTTTTATTTATGGTTATGTAACAAGTTGTTGTTTAATAATACAATCCATTAAAAATTCATTCATAGCGCGTCCACAATGCATGGTACATACAAAAAAAACGTAAATTTTGCATGTTAAGTATAAAGGTACACACCCAAGATACAATAAAGAGTTCCACAACGTGCCACTTCTACCACCCATCAAAGAGACTGCAATTCTGCTCACTCCTGCCCAGGATAACAGCTCGATGCACATTGTCAGCCTGAGACTCAAAGTAAGAGCAGTAGGCATCCTGACAGTACTGCCTCGCTGTTTCCATATTCTAGAGTATACCTTGCTGGCTGTTCAAAAAGTTGAGCAAGTTTCTGCACCTCAGCCTCCCACGAGCCATTAAGGCTTTCTCCCTTACTCTCAGAAATACTGTGCAAAATACAACATGCAGCTATCTTCTTGGGTAAGGTTTTTCTTGCAACTTCCAAACAGCACCATTTTCCTTTCAGATTATGCTCCACTGTCATTCTGTAACAGTTAAACTGTTCCTTCCTTCTATCCCAGAGGCCAGGGAATGCCTTCATTGACCAGGTCTCCCAGGATAATGTCCATAGGGGGGGCAAACATCCTTTATTCCTTAAGGTAAACATAGCTGAGTTGTGAAAGATCCTAGCATCATGGACCTTTCCAGACCATCCTGCATTTATTACTGTAAACCTGACATGGTGGTCAACCAGCCCTTGGTGCAACACTGAGCAATACCCTTTCAGTTTATAAACGCTGAGGCCTGGTGCAGGGAGCAAACGATGGGCACATGGATTCCGTGAACTGCCTCAATATAGTTTGGGAACCTCATGTGTGAAAAGCCATTAATCTGCTGAGTATTACCAACCTTTATAACCTGGTGCAACAGTGCCTTATGCATGGCATCAAATACCTGCATGACAATAGCCCCAACAGTCAGTCAATCTCCCTACACTAAAACTGGGTTGGCTATCGACAAGCAACCTGTAGAGGTAGCCAGCTTACCCTGGAAATCACTGGTGGGTCCCCTCCTCATCATCTTCCACATCACCCTCTGGTTACTTTGTTTAGATCTTCGACTTGTAGGTTTTTTGGTTTGTCTGTTTAAGTCCTGTCTAGGATTCTGGGTCGAGATTAATTTACCATTTTAGATTAAATTACATTGGTGATTCCAGCCCACCGTATAGACCAGGGGTTCTCAAACTTCATTGCACCGTGATCCCCTTCTGTCAACAAAAATTACTACGTGACCCCAGGAGGGAGGGACCCGAAGCCTGAGCCCTGCTGCCCCGGGTGGGATAAAGCCTGAGCCCCACTGCCCAGGGCAGGAGGGCCCTAAGCCAAAGCCCCACTGTTCCATGTGGGGGGTCCAAAGCTGAAGCCCAAGGGCTTCAACCCCAAGTGGGAGTCCTGTAACCTGAGCCCCGCCACCCAGGGCTGAAGCCCTTGGGCTTCGGCTTCAGCCCTGGGCGGTGGGGCTCAGGCTTCAGCTTCAGCCCCAGCAAGTCTAACATCAGCTCTGGCAACCCCCTAAAACGGGGTTGTGACCGACAGTTTGAGAAGTCCAGACAAGGCATCTTGAAAATACTCATCCTATGAAAAAGCACATCAGTCAAATACCATTCTAAATTCTACTTCCATGTATGTTCCTTTTACCTTCTGCTCACACAGAATATTTACTACAACTCCTTATACCATTATTATTGCCATTTCTGAAAAACATTCTTCTTAAATCATCTTACCAGGATTGTCCTTTGTAAATTAGAATTAACACTGCTGAACATCAGCTTGCCAACTATGGTGGCAATGGTTGGAAAGACAAGAGCTCCACACAGAATACGAGTAGCAGAGACGTGATCTGCTAGAGGGTTGGCCTCAGCTGGAATACGAGGAACAGGACATCCAATTCCTAGAGAAAAATCATATTGCCAGCTAACAAACTGAAGACTTAAAACTTTGTTTTCATTATGAATCTAGCCTTCCAAGTCTAATTAGTTTTCTACAATCTAACAATTTTATTATAAAGCATCCCTCTCTCCAGTAAGTATTCTATTTCTATTAAATGAAGAAATTATTGTTAGGCATCAACTTTTAGCTTCTCACTCTAAAATTTCATGTATAGTTCTTTTATTTTAATATTTGCACTACAATAGAGCATAGAGGCCTCAACAGAGTTTGGGGCCCTATTGGGCTAGGCACTGTACAATCACACAGTAAGAGACAGTACCTGCCCTTAAGATCATATAATCAAAATAAACTAGACAGAGGGCAGAGGGAAGGGAGCATTATTATCCCATTTAAAGATAGGGAAACTGCCCTCTACACCCCACCTCGCATGGGCAGAGCACAGACTTCATATTTCATTTAGATTTAATTGCATTACCTGGAAATATACTATTCAGAATTTGCAATTTGTTAGAATATTTGCGCCACAGTCTGAGCACATAATCTTCCCAACGAATCATCTTGCCCAGTATCAGCATGACTGGGATGGTGGGAAGTCCAATCAAAAGAAATAAAGGATCAGCTCTCTCCATGACATCAAGACCTTCTTTATGACCTACAACCTGTGAAATGTTTAAAAAGTTTTAGTGTCAGATGGCTATTGTGCAGTGGACATACTTTAAGTGTCTAGTTTTGAAAGATTTTACTGCAGGGGTAGGCAACCTATGGCACGTGTGACAAAGGCGGCACACAAGCTGATTTTCAGTGGCACTCACACTGCCTGGGTGCTGGCCACCAGTCCGGGGGGCTCTGCACTTTAATTTTATATGAAGCTTCTTAAACGTTTTAAAAACCTTATTTACTTTATATACAACAATAGTTTAGTTATATATTATACACTTATAGAAAGAGACCTTCTAAAAACGTTAAAATGTATTACTGGCACCCGACACCTTAATTTAGAGAGAATAAATGAAGACACAGCACACCACTTCTGAAAGGTTGCCGACCCCTGTTTTACTGGTTTGTATCAAATTGTCCAGGCATCTAAACTTTAAAATAATCCTATTAAATTTTACCTGAAGCTTAAATCTCTTATGTGGTGCCCTTCACTACTTATCAAATTTGCTGTTGGTGACTTACCACTTCCAGTTCTTGCGTGACTCATCTTGCATTAGTGAGTCATTACATAATTAACTTCTTCTTACCCAGAAAGGGGCAGATGTGCTTCTCTATGTACTTACTCCTAGTTGTGTTTACATATAAATAATGTAAAGTCTCTGAGATACCTCTACCTCGATATAACGCGACCCAATATAACACTAATTCGGATATAACGCGGTAAAGCAGTGCTCCGGGGGGGCGGGGCTGCGCACTCCGGTGGATCAAAGCAAGTTCAATATAACATAGTTTCACCTATAACATGGTAAGATATTTTGGCTCCCGAGGACAGCATTATATCGAGGTAGAGGTGTATTTTAAAGCTACCTTATAGTACAATAGAATGTTTTCTAAAATCCCCAGGAGGCCACATAACTTTGGAAAGATTAATTTTAATTCTGGGATTAAAAATTGCTCAGCAGCTACGATTTAAGAATACAAATCAATAGCTGAATTTTCTGATTAATGGTTAGAAGTAGAGCATGAGAGAGGGCACACTAGTAATGTGTATTCCTTCTCTGTGCATCATGAAAAAAAAAAACTGTTTTCCCACTATGACACCACCAGTTGCACATGCAGCTTCTCATGTAAATGAGCCTTTTTTAAAACTAAGGTTAACATTTGATACCATGCAACAAAAACAGCAATTATACTTTTAATTCTGTATGCTACATACTAATCTAAAATAAAAAATTTATCGTTAGTTGGACTTCGTAATTTTATTACCGAATGATTTAAGATAATTTCTTACTGCAAAAAATCAGATTTTATTGTTGCACTGTCAAAACTACAATTAAGGTCACACATGAGCCTCATGGTAAAGTGATTATTAGTCATATATTTTTTAGCAAAATGTCACTCTTAAATAGGGACAGTTGACTTGTATTTAATGTCCTGCATTTTAACTGGTGTGGGTCAAGACCTGCCAAGCCAACTGTCAGACTAAGTGCTCTCGTCTTGTTTAAACAAGAAAGAGACTTGAAATGGCCTATACATTCTAAAATCTCAAATCTCTACTCAGATTTAAATACTTGTTAAAATGCAGGCACATGTTCAAAACACAGTTTTGTAGACAGTCTTTAGAGTAGACTTTTGATAGGTTGAGAACTCAGATACATTAAATTTTGAAAATTGTACCTGTCCTCTAGGTCTTTTGGCAAAACTGACCAAGGCTGCTACCATCACTGATGCACTTCTAGAAAGAATTAACCTTTGCATGACCTTCAAATGACAGTCCAGGCAGAGCACAAAAGTGAGAAATGTAACAAGCACTGGTTGTCTTAGACATTGGCTGTCTTAATATGTTTGTATCAAAACAAACGAGCAGCATAGGCTTTATTTGGTACAACACAGAGAATAGACTGTTTAAGATCACTTGAAAAAAACAAAACAGAAACAGAGCTTCAGTAGAATGGGTGTGATGGCAGGTAAGAAAATATTGTGAAGATAACTAGCCACAGCACAGCTCTCAACAGCATTTCTGGAAGTTTTTTTTTTCAGTTAAGTAGGCAAGTCTACTTTACTTTTCCAAAATTGTTGAAGGGTGCATTAGTCAACACAGCCTGTAATACTGATTGTATTAGCTGAAGTTACTGTGGCCCAAAAAATGGTAAATGAGTAAATTAATTCTTAGAGCAGCGAAGACAATGCATACAGAATTTCTCTTCAGCTTCCTCACCAACCTCCTCCCAACTGAGAGTTAACTAGGAGACTCTTATCCTGCTCCTCAACTTCCTCTCCCACCCCAAGGATTCAAGCCTCTTATTCTCTCTCTTCTGGCCCACTATGTCCCTTCCCCCTGGGGCTGCAATAGTTTCAAAGTGCCTATCTCCTTTATTTCTTGCTGCCCCAGCAAGCCAGTTAAGTAGCACTATCTGCTCCATATCAATTCCTACCCAGTTGTAGTTTAATATCTGCAACTAACTTAGGCCTGGTCTACACTACAAACTTGCATTGGTACAGCTATGTCTCGCAGGCATGCAAAAAATCCACACGTCTGAGGCACCTAGCTATACAGATTTAGCTCCTGGTATAGACAACACTAGGTCCACAGAAGAATTCTGTTGACCTAGCTATCGCCTCTTGGGGAGGTGGAGTACCTAAGCCGACAGGAGAAGCCCTCCCGTTGGCATAGGTAGTGTCTACACTGAAGCGCTGCAACGTTTTAAGTGTAGACTTACCCTTAGGGCTTCTCTCCTCTGGCCCTCAGACAGAGGGAGAGTGATCTGACACTTTTAACAGCAGAGAGGTTACACTATCCATAACCAAGCAGGGTCTAGGAAGAGGAAAAGGGAGTGAGCGTGAATTCACTCTTCATACAATTCTAGCCTGCCTCACCTTATAGCGAACAAAAACCTCACTGGTTCCCCAGCATAGTGCCCCCAACTTGTCATTCTCCCAATCAAGGACCACAATAAATCTTAAGAAATTAGCCAGCTCAGATTAAACACCTGGGATTTAGCTAATTTTTTAAGGATTAGACTCATTAAGTGGTGCATATTTAGGATTACCACTATAATCCTAAATATGGGGAGGGATAGCTCAGTGGTTTCAGCATTGGCCTGCTAAACCTAGAGTTGTGAGTTCAATCCTTGAGGGGGCCACTTAGGGATCTGGAGCAAAATCAGTACTTGGTCCTGCTAGTGAAGGCAGGGGGCTGGACTCGACCTTTCAAGGTCCCTTCCAGTTCTAGGAGATGGGATATCTCCATTAATTTATAATTTATTTATTCACTATGCCGATTTTGAAAGATCCATAATTTTTATTTCCTTAAAGCCAGGTGCCTATTTAAAAAAATTAAAAAATTGAGGGATAACCTGCCAATCCTGTCAAGTTTTCACCAAGCAGTTCTAGAGGAGCTGGAAAATGTTAAACTTTCCTAATGTTGCCCCACCTCCATCCAGATATAGCACTGAGAATCCACTTTCATAAACTTCAAGTTTAGTCACTAATAAAAAGCCCATTGCTGTATCTGGCAGAGAAGACTCAGTATACAGCAGTAAAGAGACCTAAAGGCAGGGGCTGGTACCTGCATCACTAAATAATAGCTTTATTATTAATAAAGTTACAGTTCTAAGTAATGTAATCCAAGTTGCAATGGCCCCATAAAGGCCATGGCAGCAGCCGAAAATATGCGAGCCGGGTGAAGGGTCAGCAACATAAAAGTAATTTTGTCATTTCTCTGCCATCTGAGGCAACCCCCATCATTGGGGGATTCCAAAGTAGCCATTTCTGCTGGGTTTATGCAGCCCCTTTACACTGGCAGAGCTATCATCAAAGGGATCACACGTAACCCCAAATTGGGGCCTGAATCTTCCATTTACTGTATGCAAATAGTACCTTCCATCCTGAAAGGGCCTTACAAGCATACACAGGAATGACAACAAAATTGTTCATCTTCCTGAGGTGGAGCACAGCAACTCTACCAAAAAACAGGTCAGGCCAGGAAGAAAATAGCTGGAATCCTTGTTGTACACATCAGTATCAGGCTACTGTTTTAGAATCTTCTACCAACAGTGCTTTTTCAGTCCTTTCATATGTCAAGAAATCATTGCCTCTGAACTAAAGAATAGATGACACTGGTTACTCTGTGTCACACTCAGCTGGATGTATGTTTCTAAAGCTGTGGCTGTTTCAGCTCTAATCTATCACCAGTTTTAAAATACAAAAGGAAAAAATTCAGCTAAGAGAATCTTAAGAAAATTATTTCAGAAGTAGTAACATGTTAGAAAAAAGTGAATTTGAACCTGCATCACTGTCACAGCTCCATAGGTGACAGCTGTCCAGTAGATCGAGCCCACCATTATTCCTGCTGCAGCAAATGGACATGATTTTGAGATCAGCCGATCTGCAAGGTCCAAGACATAAACAACTGGACCTACAATAGAAAGAAGGATGTTTCAAAAAGGATATTGTAATAAAAAACCAACAATTGTACATTATTTAGTAAACTGATTAATTTAGCAGACTTTAGAGTCACAATCAGAGTTTAAGGCCAGGGTGGGACCACCAGAACATCTAGTCTGACCACTTCTATATCATAGGCCACTAAATGCCACCCCCACAGCAAGCCAAACAACCAGAATTAGATCAAAGTATTACAGCCCTAAGGAGACTATTGTGTGCCACAGATAGAGAACAGGAGGGACTGAGGTGCACCAATCCCTGAGGCCCCATAAATGGCAAGGAACTGATTTAGTGAGATATACCCAGATGATCCTAGCAAGTGACCCCTGCCCCATGCCACAGAAGGCTAAAAAAACCCTCGGTCCCTGTCAATCTGACCTGGGGGGGGGAAATTTCTTCCCAACCCTGAATAAGGTAATCAGTTAGACCCTGAGCATGTGAAAAAGTCAGACCCAAAACACATCAGGTATTCTTTAAAAGAGGAAATTTCAGTCAAGGGGGCAATAGCTCTAATAGTATTAACAGAAACTCTCATTACAATAATGTGTACACAGACACACACAACTTTACCTGATAAAATATGTTGCATCTGATTATCAAATGAAGTATATGATTCCAATAAAGTGTTACCTTGGTAATGCTTTAATATAGTTGGCACACATCTTCTGTATGTGCACAAGCAACAATTTTTAATGACCTAACCCTCCAGTTGTACAGGTACATCTGCCATTTCTGGGGACTTGGGATTTTTCTTTATATATACTTAGCATTTCAGAGGAAGAAAACTACCGTAGATATAATTTAAACAGTGTTTCAAACTCTGATTTCAGACAGCTTCTATTTCAATTTGAGAGGACCGTTCTACTAAAACCTTATCCTATTCTCAAGGAGAAATTAGAAGGACATTGTCAATTTGAAATCTCCTTACTAATGGAAAATGTTGTACTTATTATGTTTAGAAATGACCCCAAGATTGGAGAAACACCTTCCCCCCCACACACACTTTATTTTGTGCCTCTGATAGCACTGTGTGAATAAGCAGTTTCACCATTTTGTTGATGGTCAACTATTTCCAGATCGATGCACCGCATCACAATATTGTTCCCCAACACTGTTCAAGGTGTGGGGGTGCTCATGTGCACTTTCTTCCCCCTGCAAGAGTTTGTATACCAGAAAGAGCCACAACAAAGCTGAAACTTAAACCTAAGAGTATGTCCACATTACAATAAAAGGTGTGCGGGCTGGCATGGGTCAGTGGACTTGGGCTCATGGGGCTCGGGCTACAAACCTGCAGTGTAGACATTCAGCCTCAGGCTGGAGTCACGAGGGGGGAGGGTGCCAGAGCTCTGACACCAGCCCAACCCTGAACACCTACACTGCAATTTTATAGGCTTGCAATCCGAGCCAGAGTCAGCTGACCTGGGGCAGTCATGGCTGTGCCATAGGTCTTATCACTGCGTAGACATACCCAAAGAGGCCATAGACAGGTGTGTGCACAGACAGAAAGGAGAAGTGTTTCTGAGAATATCTGGTCTTGCTTTCAGACTCACCATGTTTGGAATTAACTAGAACTAGATTTACATTTTATATATTTTTAAAAGCATGTAAAAGGACTTTGCCAAATAAATCATTCTGTTTCTAACACACTAAACAAAGATTACTTATGCTGTAATTACTCTTCAAATACTACTGAATGTAGTCAATTTGCCTTTGGTTTAATATTTTTAACAGTAGTAACTGCATGAGGTTTGAAGACAATAATTCTGTTCTTAAAAATTCTATTGAAATACACTGGGAGCACTAATATATCAATGTATATTGTAAAGTCTTCTAGAAATTTCTAGATGAAGAATGCCAGTAATCAAGTCTTTGAAATCTGGTTTTACTAGGCAGCAGGTCATACCAAGATGAAATTTTCCTAATTGCTCAATAGATAAGTGAAAGTTCCATAAAAATTATCCTTTCAATTTTATAGTATCTTTGAGGCTCTCTTTAAAATAAAATCTGCACAACAAGCAGATTAATGACATACCAATACAAAGCACAGTAATACACAAAGACTGAAACAATGGCTCAGAGAAATGTTAATTGGTGATCAGCCACAACACCTCCCACTCTTACAGTATGCTATAGTGGGACTCTTAGGGCTGGTCTACACTTAGTCCGGACTTCGGACTAAGGTACGCAAATTCA